GGGCGGATCGGGTCGGGTAGGGCGGCTCGGCTCGGCCTGGGCGGCGCGAGGCTGCAGCAGAGCGCGCCGCGCGCGGCAGCAGAGGCGCGACGCGCGGGCTGCAAGGCGGACGGTTGACGCGACGGGCAGGCAGCCCGTACGGGCGACGCGACGGGCTGGGACAGCCCGTACAGGCGACGCGACGGGCAGGCAGCCCGTACGGGCGACGCGACGGGCTGGGACAGCCCGTACGAGGGACGCGACGGGCAGGCAGCCCGTACGGGCGACGCGACGGGCTGGGACAGCCCGTACGGGCGACGCGACGGGCAGGCAGCCCGTACGGGCGACGCGACGGGCTGGGACAGCCCGTACGGGCGACGCGACAGGCAGGCAGGGCGGACGGGCGACGCGACGGGCTGCAGGGGCGCACGACGCCAGGCAGAGCAGAGCGTGCGTGGGGTAGCGCAACGCGGGGCAGGGCACGGCGTGCGCGGGGCAGCGCAACGCGGGGCAGGGCAGGGCGTGCGCGCGGGCAGCACAGCGCAGGCAAGGCAAGGCAAGGCGCAGGCAAGGCAAGGCGCGGCGCAGGCAAGGCAAGGCAAGGTGCAGGCAAGGCAAGGCGCGCGCGGGCAGCGCAGCGCAGGCACGGCAAGGCGCGCGCGGGCGGCGCAGCGCAGGCAACACGTGGGGCAGCTCAGTAACCACAACGGTAGGTGGGCCCGATGGAGCAGGAGGTGCTGGCGTTGGAGGTGCTGGAGCTGGTGGTGCAAGGGCTGGAGGCGCTGGAGCTGGAGGCACTGGCGCTAGAGGAGCTGGTGCTAGAGGTACTGGTGCTGGAGCCGCTGGTGCTGGAGGCGCTGGCTATGTCGCTACACGAGCTGGAGGCGCTGGAGCTGCTGGCGCTGGAGGTGCTGGAGCTAGTGGCGCAGGAGCTGGAGGCGCTTGAGCTCGAGCCACTGGCGCTAGAGGAGCTGGTGCTGTAGGTACTGATGCTGGAGCCGCTGGTGCTAGAGGCGCTTGCGCTGTCGCTACTGGAGCTGGAGGCGCTCGAGCTGGAGGTGCTGGCGCTGGAGGTGCTGGAGCTAGTGGCGCAGGAGCTGGAGGCGCTGGAGCTGGAGCTGGAGCCGCTGGCGCTGGAGCTGCTGGAGCTGGAGGCCTCGGAGCTGGAGACCCTATGCAGCAGCGACCGTTTTTCTTGCCATCACCGCAGCTGTCCGAGCTCCAGCTTGAGTCGGTGCTCCGTCAGGTTCTTAGTCTTCCTTCGTCCACTGCCCTTCCTCAGGACTCACTGCTGCCTGCCCCGCCTCGTTACACTGAGCAGCCAGCCTCCCTTACCGAGCGTCGAGCCTGCGTCTCGTCCTGCCTCGCCTGTTCGCACGGCTCGCCGTTCTCGTCGTGTCCCGCGTCCGCGTTCTCCTCCTGTGCCAGGCACTCACACTATGGCACTTCGTCCTTCCTCTATTCCACAGCGTGTCCCTCTGCCGTCTCCTCCTGCGTCCTCTCTTCCTGACGTTCCGGACCCTGAGTCTGACTTGGTTCGTGCTGCTAGTCCCACTATCACGCATCTCCTCGCTACTATCGTTACTGACCCGTCGTTTGAGTCTACTGCTGCGTCTGCCTTAGTTGCTAAGCTTGTGGACTTTGCTGCTGCGTGTCGTCTCGACTACGCCACTAGTCTTGTTGCTGAGTCTGAGTCTGTCTGTCCTCCGTCCGTCGGGGTGAGTGTGCTCTTGGCACGGACATCCTTGAGGACAGGCAGGAGGACTTTGAGTGTCTTGCGGCTGCTGTACCTCATCTCGTGGCCATGCTACTTGCACCTAAGGGAGACCCGGATCCACTGGACATCCCGACCCCGCGCTCTTACGCAGAGGCGATCACGGGTCCCTACTCCTCTCAGTGGCAGACACCCATGGACGCAGAGATGGCATCCTGGAAGTCCACAGGCACCTACATCGACGAGGTTCCCCCTCCTGGGGCGAACATTGTCGATGGCATGTGGATTTTAAGGGTGAAGCGGCCGCCGGGTTCTCCGCCCCTCTACAAGGCTCGGTACGTTGCTCGAGGCTTCAGTCAGCGACAGGGAGTTGACTTCTTCCAAACCTTCTCCCCTACCCCGAAGATGACCACTCTTCGGGTGCTGCTGCACGTTGCCGCTCAGCGTGACTACGAGCTTCACTCGCTTGACTTCAGCACAGCATTTTTACAGGACAGCCTGCACGAGGAGATCTGGTTGCGCCGCCCACCTGGCTTCACTGGGTCATTCCCTCCTGGTACCCAGTGGAGCCTCAGGCGGCCAGTCTACGGTCTCCGCCAGGCGCCTCATGAGTGGCACGACACACTGAAGACGTCTCTTGCACCTCTTGGGTTTGCTCCTTCTACGCACCAACACTTTGCTGCCGCCGTTCTACATCCTCGTGTACGTCGACGACTTGGTTTTTGCCACTGCTGACACTGAGGGACTCGCTCTTGTGAAGTCGGAGCTGCAGAAGAGGCACACGTGCACAGACCTGGGTGAGCTGCGCAGCTACCTTGGCCTGCAGATCACCCGGGACAGAGCACGGCGCACCATCACCCTGACTCAGTCACATATGGTGCAGCAGGTCCTTCAGCGCTTCGGCTTCCAGTTCTCCTCGCCACAGTCCACTCCTCTGCCTACCGGTCACTCGCTCTCAGCTCCACCTTCGGACGAGTCCGTAGAGCCGAGTGGTCTGTATCCAGAGCTTGTGCTGCCTCATGAGGTGCTGCCTCATTTACCTAATGACCTGCACTCGACCTGACCTTGCATACCCTCTTAGCATCTTGGCTCGCTACGTCGCGCTGGGAGACACCGGCGAGAGCACTGGGAGGCTGCTAAGAGGGTGCTGCGCTACTTGTGCAGTACATCGAGCATGGAGCTGGTGCTTGGAGGACCGGGTGACGTTGTTCTCACTGGACACTCAGACGCCTTTTGGGTTGACGACCTGGCTACACTGCGGTCATAACAGGGTTACACCTTCAGCCTTGGTTCCGGCTCTGTTTCTTGGCGGTCTACCCGCTCGTCTTCTGTTCTCAGCTTCAGTTGTGAGGCTGAGATCTACGCAGGAGCCATGGCTGTACAGGAGTTACGCTGGCTCACCTACTTGCTGACCGACTTGGGAGAGCGGCCTAGTTCTCCTCCAGTTCTGTATGTCGACAACAGGGTCGCTATTGCCTTGTGTCAGGAGCACAGACTGAAGCACAGAACGAAGCACATCGCTCTGCGTTACTTTCTTGCTCGAGAGTTGCAGCAGCGTGGCCAGCTTCGTCTTGCTTATGTGGCCACTCGGGCCAACACAGCTGATATCTTCACCAAGGCACTTTCGCCTGGAGATCATCAGCGTTTCTGTACTGCTCTCGCTTGCTCACTTCTTGGCTTTGTTTGTATTGTGATCTATATATGTCCTTGTATACTTACACTTGCTAGGTTGTGATCACTGTACTACTTGCCGTGTTTTATATAACTCTGCATGTAAACTGGCTTTGCGGCCCTTCGCTTGTGTTTAGAATGTGTGGTGACTTCGTGATCCACCCTGAGCTTTCTTTGCTTTTCTTGACTGGTCTTGTGACCGCCTGTTTATCCCCTATTTTGCTTTTAGGGGTGTGTCCAAATAGATTGTGTAGGCTATAGTAGGGTAGCCCATAAAGGGTACAACCCAATGTTAGGGTTAAGCATACCGTATTTGCACCTCATTTCTGCTCAAATCATCCATTCTTTCCTGTTAGATTCTGACAGGAAAGAGTCGAATCTTGTCTTGCTAACTCTCATACTACCATGTTGGGTTGAGAAAAGCCCTTAGGATCGTTTTCAAAATAAGACTTATAACAATGATGTAATTTGCGAAAGCGTTCTAGTTAACTGGTTGAACCACTTTGTGTTGGTGTATGAGGACAAGACTGTCAAACATTATGCATGTTGTAGCTTTGTAGGCTACAGTGGGTTTAGCCTTAGGGGGTACACAACTCTAGGGTTTCATATTTATACTCCCATTCTTGTTAGTCACACATCATTCCTCATTCTAATTTTCACATGGTATCAGAGCAGGTTCCCTAGTGGGAACTTTTCCTAGGGCCCACCCAAATCGATCTTTTCTTTCTGCCCGGGGCGCGCGTCGCCCCTGCCCGAGGCGCGCTCGGTGTGCTGCCCTTACGCGGCCCGTCGCGCCCTCCTCACGCTGCCTTACGCGACCCCTTAGCCGCCCTTAGCGGCCCCGTCGCCCCACCTTCGCGGCCCCGTCGCCGCCCTTAACGGCCCCGTCGCCCTTCGCGGCCCGTTGCCGCCCCTTGCGGCCGTGTCGCCGCCCTTCCGCGGCCCCGTCGCCGCCCCTTACGGCCCCGTCACCGCCCCTTCACGGCCCCGTCGCCGCCCCTTGCGGCCCTGTCGCCGCCCCTTACGGCCCCGTCGCCGCCCCTTCGCGGCCTCGTCGCCGCCCCTTGCGGCCCCGTCGCCGCCCCTTGCGGCCCCGTCGCCGCCCCTTGCGGCCCCGTCGCCGCCCCTTCGCGGCCTCGTCGCCGCCCCTTGCGGCCCCGTCGCCGCCCCTTGCGGCCACGCCGCCGCCCTTCAGCGGCTCTGCCGCCCTTCGAGGCCTCGACGTTGCCCTACTGCGGCCCGACGCTGCCCTACCGCAGCCTCGCCGCCGCCCCGCTGCGGCCCCGCCGCCACCCCTCACAGCCCCGAGACCGCCGAGCCGCCGAGCTGCCAACCGCCGAGGCGCCGAGCCGCCGTTGCTGCCGTTGCCACCGAGCCGCCGAGCCGCCGAGCATCCGAGCCGTTGAGCCGCCGAGCCGCCGAGCCGCCGAGCCGCCGAGCCGCCGAGCCGCCGTTGCCGCCGAGCCGCTGTTGCCGCCGTTGCCTCAGCCGCTGCAGCCGAGCTGCCGCCGTCCCTGCAGTCGCGGCCCTGTCCCTCCCGGCGAGCCTCGGCCCTTCTCGCCTGCCCGGTAAGAGCAGCGCCTCTGCCACTGCACTGCCCTTAGCCTGCTGCTCTCACTGCTCGTCTACTGCTGTCATGGCCACCCCCAGTGTTCTCACCTTTGACGCTGAGGGTCGGGCTGTTGACTTTGAGGTCTGGCTCGATGATCTGCAGCTTTTCCTACAGTGCGATAGGGCAGACGGTCTCTCCCTCTTTGACCTCACTTCTGGTGCCTCTCCTTCCCCTGCTGCTGATGCTGACGCCACTGTTCGCTCACAGTGGGCCACGCGCGATGCTGCTGCCCGCCTTGCTGTGCGCCGCCACTTGCCGACCGCTGAGCGTGCGCACTTTAGTCAGTACAAGAGTGCTAAGACCTTGTACGACGCTGTAGTTGCACGCTACTCTTCCCCTGCCACTGCTGCGCTTAGCCGCCTCATACTGCCGTACCTCTTCCCTGACCTCGCCGCTTTTCCCACTGTCGCAAACCTCGTTACGCACCTTCGCACTAGTGACATTCGCTACCGCGCTGCGTTTTCCTGCTGAGATCTGCGCCAAGAACCCCCCCCCCCATGTACATCATCCTCTACTACATAGTCACCCGGCTCCCTGACACCCTTCGCTCGGTCAGGGACCACTTTCTCTCTGTTTGCCCCACCACTCTCACCGTTGACCTCCTCGAGGAGCGTCTCCTAGCAGCAGAGAAGAGCATAGTTGCTGTAGGAGCCTCTCGTGGTGACCCTCGTACCCCTGTCTTTGAGGGGTGCTCCCCCTCCCCCCTCTTGCCCTCTGTTGCCTCTGCTGCTGCGGTCGACCTTGTTGGTCTTGAGTCGGTCGCTGCGGCGTCTACCTCTAGCGGGAGACGCCGCCCAGGCAAGGGCAAGGGGGGCAAGGGCGTTGGGGGAGCTGGCGGAGGCGGTGGAGGCGGCAGTGGAGGAGGCGGAGGGAGTGGGGGTGGCGGTGGGAGTGGTGGTGGGAGTGGTGGTGGGAGTGGGGGCACTAGTGGAGGCAGTGGCGGCGGAGGAGGAGGCGGTGGTGGAGGTAGCGGCGGCGGAGGTGGAGCGGGTCGGGGCGGCTCTACGCAGAGGGTCGGCTCCGGTGGTGGTACGCGCCAGCAGCAGCAGCAGCAGCGTACTCGTGAGACCCCTTCCCCCCAGCAGCTTCGTGAGTGGTACACTGCTCGTCAGCGGGGCGGGGGTGCTGGCCCCTGTACCTACGTTCTCCGTACCGGCGACCGAGCGGGTGAGCAGTGTTGGGGAGCGCACTCCACCCAGCGCTGCTTCGGCCGTCTGACGGACGCGTGGCGTCACCAGTTCCCCGACGCTACTGAGATCCCTCGCTGGGGCGAGCTGTCTAGGGCGGGTGTTGCGATCTTTGATCTTGATTATGATGCTATTCTTGAGCCTCTTTCTCAAGGGCGAGGGGGAGAAGCTGGTGCTGTTTCTGGTCTACGTGGATGACATTCTTCTCTTCAGCAGCAGCATGAAGGAGATCCAGAAAGTGCAGCAGCAACTGATGGAGAACTTCAAGTGCAAGAACCTTGGGGAGGTAAAGTACTTGTTGGTGTAAGGGCCTTAAAAACTCAAGCTATTAGGACTTAATCAAACTTAAAACCTCTCCTCGGGGTCACCTCCAAGGGTCCCTGGGTGCCTGGTACAAGACCAGCCCCTATCCTCGGCTCCCAGTTTGTAGAGAGAGGGATCAAGAAGGACTTAGTCAAAACAGCAAGAGCACCTTGAACGTCGCGCAGCGTGCCGTGCAGACCGTCGATTGGATTAAGCTGAGAATTCGCTATATCGAAGCTCGCTCCAAGAGCTTTAAAATGAGCCAAGTTGCCTCGCGAAAAGTTCTGCCATTACGAAGTTATGGCTCAGACGGTGTTTGCCTAGCATTAGAGTGCTAGCGTACTAGCGTTGACTCGGGTAGCATTCCGCCAACGAACCGCGTAGAAACGAAATTCCAGCGAGGAAGGAATTCGCTTGAATCAATTTGACTATATTCAGGTACAAACAGAGAAGGATTAAATAGTTCTAGCTAGCAAGGACCTTGGGAATCAACCTGGGAACAACCAGGGATGATCCCAAATAATTCCAAGCAACAGAACCAACCTGGCTGGACAAAATAGCAGGTGGTAGGTTGGTAAACAACCTCTGGTTCTGTTTTTCCAACCTGGGAAAACAACAACCAGGTTCAGGTTCTAAAAACAGAACCTGTTTTGTCTTTGCCCAACCAGCCAAATGCTGGTTCCGCTGGTTTCCCCTGACCCTGTAGCATGCAGATACAGACAAACAACATCCAACCTTCACCTAAATTGTACCCCTATAGTGCCTTCCCTGCTACACTATAGTTAACCAAACAAAACAGTACAATTTCGAGTTGGATAGAACTGAATCTGCGCAATCAACTCAACCGAACTGCAAAGCTTCCATCTTGGGTTCCTTTGCGAGCTCGTCCTTTCAGCTTGCACTGTTCATAGCGCATACAATGTTGTGCCGAAGCGCACATTGCGCGAGTACCTGCAAATGCATCAAGCGAAAAATGCGAAAGCAAACAAACACACGAACACACCATTCACACACAAATGCATTCGCACACGCATACTCGTACAAACAGACGGCAGGATGTCGTGCAATGTAAATTTGCACCCAACACACTCCCCCTCAGCCTGCCGGCTGCATCCCCGTCATTCCATGCTAGTTCATGCTCATTCCACTCATGCGCACACAACGCCAATGAGGCTCATCCGCAAGCCTCTTGGTGAGAAAGTCTGCTGGCTGCTGGTGAGTCTTGATGTAGATCGGATGCACCGTCCCCCTCTTCACCTCTTTACGCAGCCAGTGCCACTTGATACGCATGTGCTTGTTCAGCCCATGAAGCACAGCGTTTCTGGCCATCCCAAGAGCCCCTTTGCTATCACAAAACAGCGGCGTAGCAACTTTCTGCTCCTGGCCAATCTCCTCTAACAGCCTCCTCAGCCAAATCACCTCCTTCACCCCATGGAACATCGCCATGTACTCTGATTCTACGGAAGAGAGTGCCGTCTCCGTCTGCTTCTTGGACCTCCAACTAACAGGTCCTCCCCCAACTACGCAGATGTATCCTCCCACAGATGAGGAATCCTCCTTCTCAGAAGCCCATGTAGCATCGGTAAAGCAAGTGAGAAATAGCTTGCCTTCTCCAAGCCTCTCTCCCTTCTCTTTCAGCACCTCCACCCCTTTCTGCTTCACCTGTGCAGATGCGGAGTATTGAACTCCAATGCTTGGGTGAGAGTTCAGGTACTTCACCACACGCTCAGCTGCATCCACCTGCTCCTCTGATGGATTCTGCACCACCCTAGCCAGCTGCCCAACCGAGAAAGAGATGTCGGGCCTCGTGTGAACTGCTGCGTACAAGAGGCTGCCCACCAAGGACTGAAATTGCTGCTGCTCTTCAGCTTCAACCCCTTCATCCTCTGCAGCCTTCACAAGCTTGAATTCTGCTGGCAGGGGAGTTGCAACCTTGCGCTCATTCTCAATCCCATACTTCTCCCCCAGCTCCTTGATGAACTTCTCCTGGTGCAGCTTCAACCACCTGTGATCTGGATCCCTCTCCACGTGCATCCCGAGGTAGTACTTTACCTCCCCAAGGTTCTTGCACTTGAAGTTTTCCATCAGTTGCTGCTGCACTTTCTGGATCTCCTTCATGCTGCTGCTGAAGAGAAGAATGTCGTCCACATAGACCAGAAACAGCACCAGCTTCTCCCCCTCGCCCTTGAGAAAGAGGCTCTCATCACAGCTGCTGGTCCTGAATCCCATCTCCTCTAAAACAGCTGCCAACTTCTGGTACCAGCAGCGTGGCGCCTGCTTCAAGCCGTAGATGGACTTGTTGAGCTTGCACACCCTGCCCGTACCATCCTCATACCCAGGCGGCTGCGTCATGTACACATCCTCCTCTAAAATCCCATTCAGGAATGCCGTTGAAATATCCATCTGAATGATGAATTTCCCACTAACAGCTGCATCTGCCAACAAGACACGGAGGGTAGGGGGTTTGGCAGTGGGAGCAAAGATCTCGTTGAAGTCCTGCTTCTCCTTCTGCATAAACCCCTTCGCCACCAGCCTACTCTTGTAGATGGTGACCTGCCCCTTGTCATCGGTCTTGATCCTCAGCACCCACTTGCATTGTATCGCTTTCTTCCCATCAGGCAGCACCACCAGATCCCATGTCCTATTCTCCAGCAGACTCTGGTACTCAGCATCCCTAGAAGCCAGCCACTTGTCCCTATCTGGTCCAGCTAATGCCTCCTCCATGCTAGCTGGTTCCTCTGGTGCAGGGGCAAGAAAACAGTACGCAGGCTCATCCTCCTCATCCGGGTCATAGCCATGAGGTAGAATCAGCAATGCCTCTTCGGTCCCTAGCTGCTGCTCTGCTGCATCAGTTCCTGCAGTCAGCTTCTTAGTAGCCATACGGGTACGTCCTGGCCTGGAGACGGGTGTCTCCCATCCCTTCATAACGACACCCTTCGGCTTCTTAGTTTTTCCCTGCTGCTTCTCTCCTCCCTCGGGTCCAGCAGCTCCACTAGTGCTGCCGCCAGTTTCCACACCATTTTCTCCACCAGCAGATGCCTCCTGTACCTTCTCTCCATCACCATTTCCAGCAGCTGCCTCCTCTCCCTCCTCCCACACACTAGGAGTCAGGTCCAGCTGCATGGTGATCTGCTCCATCTGCTGGGACACCCTTGCCTCCGGCTGTTTCTCCCAGCTCCCATACATCATGCCCTCAATGAATTTCACATCCCTGCTGTCAAACAACACACCCTTGGATGGTTCCCACAGCAGCCATCCCTTGCTCTCAGCAGCCAGCCCCAAATGCACACACCAGATTGCACTCGCCCCCAACTTACTGCGGTAGGTCTTGGGGACGTGGGCGACTGCCATGCAACCGAACACCCTCAGCATGTCCACCGGCGGCTTCCTCCCAAGCCACCTCTCCAACGGCACCCACGAGTCATCCCCAACCTTGGTGAGCACCCTGTTCCTAGCGACAGTGGCGTGCCGGACAGCATGAGGCCACATAGAATTGCTCAGCCCAGATTCTATGAGCAGCGCCCTAGCTGTCTCCAGAATGGTCCGGTTTGCCCGTTCTGCTACACCATTGGACTGTGGGGTATAAGCCGTGGTCAGCTCTCTCTGGATGCCCTGCTTCTTGAGCCAGGCCGTCATTTCAGCTCCAAGGAACTCACCACCCCGGTCTGTCCTAATCCGCTTCACTACACACTCCGCCTGCTTCTCCACGAATGGCAGCCAATCGTCCCGTATCGTGGAGGCGGCGTGGTCCTTCTGCTTCAGCGGATACGCCCACATCAGCCTGCTCCAGTCATCCACAATTGTAAGAAAATACCGCTCCCCCTTGTGCCCTTGCACCGGCAGCGGCCCCACCAAGTCCATGTGGACCAGCTCCAAAGGCTTCTTGCTCCTGCCAGCCACACTATGGAAAGGGAAACGGGTGAACTTTGAAAGCAAACAGATTTCACAGTTGTCATCGGGTGGCTGTCCGTTCAGCTTCAGACCCTTAACGGCTCCATCCTTCTCCAGCTGCTTCAGCAAAGGCATTGCCACATGCCCTAAGCGCCGGTGTGCCGTTGCCCAATCTGTCTCCCCAGATCTGGCCGACACTTTCACACCAACCCCTCCAACGGCATTGCACTCCCCCTGGGATGCAGACCCCTCTCCAGCCTGCCCCCCACCATGCCACGCCAGGGCCGGCAGCTGCCACATAGATCTGTACACGTCCTTGCTCTCGTGCAGATCCCAAAGCACCCGATTGCCCAGCTTCCCCTTATAAGTGCGTGCCCCATCCGTGTTGGTGTTCACCCCAGCCTTGCCAAGCTTACGGAGGGAGATAAGGTTGGCCTTCAGGTCGGGGACGAAGAGAACGTCGTGCAGCACCACCGGCTTGCCATCCGCTCCCTTAAACGCAGCTCGTCTCGCACCAGCCACCTTCAACATGTGTCCAGAGGCGGAGCACACTTCATTGATCGGTGCAGCTCGTACTTCGTCCAGCAGGTCCTTGCGCGGCGTCATCGTCCAAGCAGCGCCTGTGTCCAACACCCAATAGTCTAGGGGGTGCAGCTCTGCTCCAACTTTGGCAGAGGCGTCTCCTTGCTCCCCCTTGTCTCCCACATGGAAGAATTGGCCCGCGGTGCGCTCCTTCTTCTTCTCCGCACCGCCGTTGCCCTTCGGGTTGTTGTCGGACGAATCAGCGACCATGTTGGCGCCGTTTTTCTGGTTCCTCCGCGCGCCGCCATCCTGGTG